CTACGAACACCATAAACCGCATAAACCCCAAAGCCCTAAACCCTTCTTAGAAACATAATAAAAATCATGTCTTCAATATTCTTTTGGTTTTAATAAGAACAAAGACAAAAGCAATATGGGGGGTTTCCCAAAATAGGGGACCCTAATAAAGTACCCTAAAAAGTAGGATCCTTCTTATAAGGACCCCAAAATAAGGTACCCCCCCCAATTTTCGGGAACTCCCATACCCTAAACCCTAAGCCCTGAACCTTAATGGAACCCTTATAGGATCCCCTTAAGAGCTCCCATATTCAAGGAGACAATCGTAAACCCAGCCCTGGAGCCGGCAAGGCCTTTGGGACCCAAGGCATTGGCATCGGCCTTCAAGTTCACGAGCCTTGGGAAAACTTGCTTCGAACACAGAGAGAAAGAGATAGAGAGAGAGAGAGAGATGGAGACAAACATACGCGCTTGTTTCTTTACTTATATACATATATATATATATACATGTATGTGTGCATATGTAAATAGAATATATCTATATATATATATAAATATGTATGTGTGCATATGTAAATAGAATATATATATATATATGTATATATAAGTATATACATAAACATATGCATAATATATAAGTATATATATACATACATATATATATATATATATGCATACATGACATATGTATATATATATATATATATATATATATATATATACATACACATACATACACTTATGCGTGCGTGTGTGTGTGTGTGTGTTTATTCGCACATATCAATACACATGAATATCTGCATGTCATTCTGCATCCATGTCTGTACGTATCTGGTTTCGCAACTCAACTTCGACTTCCTTCTACTCCAGAAAGCACAGGTCGTTGAATCTCTGCAACTCTGACAGTACAGGGCCACATGGCCGCAGCTGAGTCAGCCATTTTGAGTAAGTGACAAACTCCCATAATTCTCTACGTTAGTGCCCCTTTGTGGCTCCTGAGAAAGGAGCCCGAGTTCAGACACATGCCCGTACACCCACGCCTCAACCCGACGCCCTACACCCGAAACCCTGCACCTTAAAATCCTTTTTTGAACCCAAGCTCTGCCGATCAGCTGGGAAGCAGAGCTGTCAGACCCCGAACCCTCAATGTCTAAACCCCTCTCCCCTAAGCTTAGGCCCTAAACCAGACACCTCATGGCTCTCTGAAGGAGTCGAGGGCCGGGAACCTTTGTCCCTGCTCCCAGGAAACCCTTAACCACACCGTAAAATCCTGAACCCTAAACCCAAACAACCGAAACGCAGCTTCCAAGTCTTTTGCAGCTCTCAGGGTTGGCATGGGCAACCTATGTACATGAGCCCCTGGCATGTACCGGCCCTCTGACTTTGGCATCAAGGGTTTAGACGCACATCACTCATATTAGCTCTCCTGCCGCATGCGTCATCTGGAATACACAGGTGAGAGTTTCCGGAAATAGGGGACCCAAATATAGTACCCTAAATAGTAGGATCCTTATCATAAGGAGCCCCAAAGTAGATACCCCTTATGTTCGGAAACTTCCATATCTATAGGAAACTTTACCTTAAACCCTGAACCCTAAACCCTCTATATCTATAGGAGACTTTAGTGCTGGAGCCAGTCCGGGCCGAGCTGCTGCATCTGGGCCTCCCAGGTCAGTCCTCCCAATAATGAAACCCTTGGCGCTCAGCGAAGCAGTCCCTATCCCCACCCAGAACTCTTTGAGTGTCTTCGTGCGAGGTTAGTCCTGCGAGCTCCTGTCACCCCTTAAAGGGATCTATAGGGTTCCTTAAAGGGATCTACAGGGCTCCTTAAAGGGATCACTTAGAGGATCATGGGACTTAGTAACTCGGGTTATGACTAGGGTAACTATGCTTATAGCTACCTATAACCCCAAGTAAGGTACTTATAACACTACTTACTAAGTCCCATGATCCTCCAAGTAAGCCCTTTCTTGCATCCAGCCTGCAAAGTCTCTGCTGGGAACTAAATGAGCGCCTAGAGGCCTAGAGCAAACGTTCAAATCTGCCGTGCCACTGATCAGGTATGACTTCAAAGGAAAGGATGCAGCAGTCCAAACCTAATAACCTCATCCTCGAAGCCCTTAATGTGCTAGATATGTGTAGCCAGGGGCAGACATGTTTTGGTATCCGCCGGGCATCAAACTGAGTCGTTGCCAGTGTGTGGCTTCTTCTGACTGGAGAAAGTTGATGCAAGAGAAAGCAGCTAGCTTCTTTATCATCAGTCATGGGTACTTAATTATTCCTGAACCAAGGGACCTAGGATTGGCAGGAAGAAGAACCGTTGCTGTATATTGTTCTTCTTTCGAGTCGACTCCTCTTTGCTGAGAAACGGAGCAACGCCCAGCAAACGCACTGAGCGTGTTGGATGCCACGCAAATCCTCAAACGGAATGCGGACACGTTTTCGAGTGCCCTGAACCTTCACTGGATCGGGCACGAAGATCTGTAATTCGTGGTGTTTCAGATTCAGGAATAACTGAAGCGAGAAGGCCTACTGGTACGCCTCCTTCATTGTGAATCTGCCCTCCAAGTCCTAGACACCATCGACACATAAAATAATCCCAGCAGCCCAAGTCTCACCAACACTACTCTGAACCCATTTCATCCGAGTGGCGAAGGCTCCTCAACCCCATGCCTGATAGCCAAGAGCCCTAGAATTCCTGAACAACCAAACCCCAGGGATCTAGGGACTCATATATTAAGGCTTTTGGGCCCGAAGGGCTATCTGGGGTTTTTTGATCTTCTGAACAACCACACTCTAGGGATCTAAGGACTCAAAAAAGAGCTTTTGGGCCCGAAGACCATACTACATAAGGCTTTTGGGCTATGTTGATCCCTAGGGCTCATGTATTAAGGCTTTCTAGGGACAGAGTACCTGGTAACCCCCAGCCCTCCACGTCCTTGGAATCCTGCGAGGGTTTATAGGGCTTTACCTTATATAATCTCCATTGTAGTTCCTTTTTTTGGGTGGCCAGAAAGCTATATTATAGGATCCTAACCGCACAATTGGCTAACCAAAGAAAAGTTCCCTTTTTTCGGTAGCCAAGAAGCTATATTATAGGAGCCTAACCATAGAATAGGTTGACCAAAAAAGCAACTACAATGGAGACTATGGGTAGGGTTTTACCTTATGTAGGAAGAACCTACATGTTTAAGGACTTCTATAAGGAAATCATAGTAAGGATCCCTGAAAAGGTAGGCTGTTCAGGGTTAAGGTGGGAGTTTCCCGAAACAGGGGACCCTAATATAGTATCCTAAATAGTAGGATCCTTATTATAAGGACCCCAAAAAAATAATGTACCCCCACCCCAATTTTCGGAAACTCCCATACCCTAAACCCTAAGCCCTAAACCTTAATGGAACCCTTATAGGATCCCTTTAAAGAGCTCCCAGAAGCTCCCAGGTAGAGTTTGGGCCCTCCATTTCTTGAAACACCTTCCAGGGGACTCGGTCCCCTGCCAGGGCCGGCAGGGCAGCAGATCTCCCGGAACATAGCAGAAGGGGTTAATTAGGCTCCCCTGTTAAGTAGGGTTCCTTAAAAGGGATCTATAGGGTTCCTTAAAGGGATCTATAGGGTTTAGTTTAGGGTTTAGGGGCTACTTAGAGGATCATGGGACTTAGTAAGTAGGGTTATAAGTAAGGTAACTATAGTTATATCTACGTATAACACCAATTAAGGTGCTTATAACCCTCCAGGTTTAGGCTCCCTAACCCAAAGGGTCCAAAGGACCCATATAGTAGAATGTAGGATTTCCTATATTAGGAATTACTAGTATGATTTGGGGAAGTATCCCCCATGACAGTACCTAGGACCCTTTGGGTAAACCCCTGAACCCCGCAACACCTATAGATCCCTGAAAAAAGGAACCCGCTACAGGAACCCTAAACCCCTACAGATCCCTTAAAGGAACCCTTTGCGCACCCTTTACAGAAACCCTAAACCCCCCCTATAAACCGTTTAGGTTCTTTAAGTATGAAAAAGAACCTAAACGGTTTATAGGGGGGGGTTAGGGTTTCTGAATAGGCTTTAGCCTTGTAGGGGTCGAGGAGTTGGGGCCTTCTCCACGTTCACTTAAGTAGGGTTCCTTAAAAGGGATCTATAGGGTTCCTTAAAGGGATCTATAGGGTTTAGTTTAGGGTTTAGGGTCTACTTAGAGGATCATGGGACTTAGTAAGTAGGGTCATAACTAAGGTAACTATAGTTATATCCACTTATGACCCCAATTAAGGTACTTATAACCCTACTTACTAAGTACAATGATCCTCGAAGTACGTGCGCTGGGGCAACTAAGTTCTAGGGTTTAGGGCTTAGGGTATGTCAAGGCAGATCGCAATTTTCATAGTTTAGATTTCTTTTTCATAGTTTAGGGCTTGTGGTTTAGGGTATGTCAGGAACATGAGAATACCAATTTTAAGTCGACTTCCGTGCGCAGTCAGCGCGGCAGGCACGTAATTAACAAGGTTTCGTGCAACCGACGTTCGATTTACTTACCGTGTCTCGGCTTCAAAATAGTGATCGTAAATCCAATACATGATAACAACCATGGTAAGTTTTCTTGGTAGTAGTACCGCTATGCTACTAGCAACAAGCACGCCATTGACAAGGTCACAGCTTTGCCGTCGATCTGCGGCGACATGGGAGGCCCTTCAGCTGGCCAAGCACCAGCACCGACTCCGAAGAAGGGAGAAGGCTTGAAAGTCGAATTCAGGCAAAGGCCGCGATTCAGGGCTTCGGGTGTGGTGAGTAGGGGGGAAGGCTAGGGCGTTCGAGGGTCAAGGTTTTATGCTTGGCTTATGTAGAACCAAGAACTCTGGACAGTAGCGTTCTGATATTCAGAACTTGATGTTCACACGTCTCTCAACGGCTTCTGCAAAAAAAACACAACGGGAGCGTAATACCCTCGTGGTTGCAACCCCGTTATCGAGCCTTTTGCGCTGGCTGAACTTGACCCCGTTGCTCAGAAAGGCTGATGCACAGCGGTGTCAGCTCGATTGTCTGTCCTCAAAGAACTGACGCCTGAGCCGAAGCAGACACCGTGTAGATATACCAGGGATCATTTGTAGCTCTTCTAGGGTACAGTAACGTGTCGAATAGCTTCCGGCAGTGGGTTTTGTGGAGTTCACATAGAATGCCGTGGGGTCCAAGCAGAACCACTAGCCCCCTCTGTCAAAGCACATCAGCCTGAATTGCGCGGTTTCGAGTCTAAGCTCTATCTTAACCCTCAACAACCTACCTTTTTAGGGTTCTATATTATGATTTCCTTATATAAGTCCTTAACAATGTCGGTTCTTCCGGGTTAAGGTAGAGCCTGCACCCTGACCCCAGTCCCCAAAGATTCCTCAACCCAGCAACCCTGAAACCCTGGCCACTCACATAGTCACTGCATAGCAGGGCAAGAGCGAACATACAATGCTAACTACCTGGACCCCAAAGAACCTACCTTTTTAAGGGCCGATATAAAGAAACAGTAAAAAGAAACCCTAAAAAGTAAGTTTTATATGGTTAACTATGAAACTGTAAGACTGAAGTAACCAATGTCTGTCTAACGACAAGCCTTATGGTTCCCCTTGTAACAACCCTAATAAATGACAACGTACAACACACCAAAATAGACCTTCAGCAACCCTAAACCCTTTTTGCATCGAGCCCCTTCGATCTGCCGGGTACCCCTAAACCTACAAGCCCTAAAAGCCTACGAGCCTGAACCCCAAAACCCTAAACCTACAAACCGCAAAACCCCTTCGTGGTCCGGGCTGCTGCTTCTTCCGCTGAAGCTCCACAGTAGAGTTTCGTGGAGCTCCTCGGATTTTTGCAGGAGGAGCTGGGCTAACGCGGTTGGCATAATTGTACTGCTCTGTCTGTGTGTGCGTGTGTGTATGTGTATATGTATCTGTATATATATATATGTATATACATAGTAACATAATGCATTAGGATATACTTAACTATAATAGAGTGCAACACAATACAATATGACATAATATACTATTATATTATACTGTATTATATATAACTATATATAAGTATGTGTATAGATGTGTGTATATATATACAGTGTATGTATGTAGAAATGATATGCCATATGTATTCAAGACTACTTCTCGGGTTCCGGATGTAGGATACGATCTCTTTGCTTGGCATCGCGCTCTCCGCTTGATTACCAATCTGTCTCCTATTGCTGCGCTTTGAGTGGTGTCGCGCCAAGGTCTTGTTACCTAGTGTGCACATGCGTGGCACTAAGCTTCAATCTTTTCTTCGAAGGTAGATCGGCATGAGAGAAATTGTGACAGCCGCTTCATCACCTGCATTGCACCGGCCACTGATCAACGCTGCTCGCGGCTTCCAATACTATTGGGATTCCGTACTGTAACTCTGGTATCATATACCCCAATATTGAGTATTAAGGCACCTAAATCATGCTTGCGGGTTGGTTGCTGTCAAGTCACGCTGCACGGACTTGGTGACGCGAATGTTTTGCGTCAGAGGGTCCTCGGCTTCGGACTGTGCCAAAGAAATGTAGGGTACCTATAGTCTCCGTTGCAGTTCCGTTTTTTGTTAACCAGAAACGATATTACAGGATCCTATAGACTATAAACTGGTTAACCAAAAAACTATTACAATGGAGACTATAGGTAGGGTTTTGGGGTACAGTGTACTATACTTATACTGAGGACACCCCCAAAAATAGTATGCGTAATTCTTATCCAATTAAGGGCCCTATGTAAGACTTCCTTTCCGGGGACCCCTGTCTCGAACTGCGTACTGGCTTGACGAGCATTGTAAATAACATGCAGAACCCTAACTGGGCAGTTCTCCAAGCCTGCGAGTGCGACAAACATTGGCAGGTCCTGAGGGAACCTCATGTATGCCCTGACTGGAACCCTGAGTTGCACGGATCCTTCTTTTAGATCAAACTGTAATATTGCGAACGGCTGGTTCCATCGCCGTGACTTGCTTTTGATCGTAGCACATCAACGGTCACCCCTGAGTAGTGCTTGACCGGTCTCTAAGGAGAACATCTCAACTTCAGGCGCAGGCATCACCACCACCACCATCATCATCGTCATCATGGTTATGAGTGAGGCGATTTGGACACTGCTGGAAGAAGCAGCAGCGCCACCGCCAAAGCCACCGGCACATGCATCAGCAGCAGGCAGCAAGCACCAAAGTGCCCCGGGGACTGCAGCAGTTCCCGTGCTGCAGGTGCACTGCAGCAAAACACCAACATTTGCACCGGCTGCAGCACCACGCCACATCCACTGTCGTTGTCGTCATGTCCGACAATGTGCACATCTGCAGTACGACTGCGAACGAATAAACAGGTGACAGAACAAGGCGGCACGTTGTTGAGTGACTCCTGCGATTTCGCATGTGTGCATTGTTGAGGCCGGGAGGTGTGCGAAACTGTGGTTTCAGCACATCTTTACTCTGGGAGCTCGTTACGAGAGGGGTCGGCTGAAATGATGCATTTTCAGTGTTTTACAGTGGCCCTGGGCACATTTTGCAGCAATCCTTTCGGGAAAATTTTCAATGCACCTAAAGTCTCCATTGTAGTCCCTTTTTTGGTTAATCAATTGTATAGCTAGGATCCTACAATATAGTTTTGGGTTAACCAAAAAAAGAACTACAACGGAGACTATAGGCAGTAGCCTGAACCCCCCTGAGGTCCGAACCCCTGCTTCTGCTTCTACTGCTGCCTGTTGATGATATACATCCTGCATTACCTTAGGAACCCTAAACTATGGGAATTATGGCATATTCCTGATTATGGGTAATGCAGGATTTATATCATCAACCGTAGCGTCCCTGTGGAGCTTCTGAGGTTTAGGGCTTTGGGTTTCGGGCCGTCCCTGTGGAGCTTCTGATGTACTACCTTAACCTGCCAGAACCTACTTTTTTGTAGGGTCCCTATGACTCCCATATTAGGGTTTATAATAAGAACTTTAGTAGGTGTAGGTACACTAGACAAGTGGCATACTGTGGGAAGAACGGCCGCGTCAAGGAGTCGCAAAAGTGCGAGATCTTGGTCTTGGCATCCTGCCAGGTGGGGGGGGCGCGGTTGGGGTGTATTGCAGGGGCCTTGATGATTAGAGTAGGGTTCCTTTGAGGGGTCTATAAGGGTTACTATAAGGGATCTATAAGGGTACTATGCAGTATAAGGGCCTTGATAATTAGCATCGGGTTTTGGGGAAAATGATACTAGACTTATAGTCCGGTACCCCCAAATATAGTGTTGCTAATTATTTACGCACCTACAGTAGGCTGGCATAGAGTTTCGGACGCTCACGCTCGGCCGATCCAGGCGAGGCTTGTGGTTCGAGGTCTGTTGAGTGAAACACCACACTGAAGAAGCACCCACAACACACCTGACCCGGAAAAGTGCTCGCCCACTATGATTGATGTACATGGCGCAGGGTTTCCCAAACCACAATGTGGAACACGGGGCAATGAGAAGGTCATTCAGAGTGCACTGCGAAATTTAAACGTTCTACTACATGCTCCGGCTTCCGCTTACCGATTTACACTACATCTGTACTGCTAAGTACCGGGCCCGTTGGAAAGAAACTTGTGTCCCCAATGCAGTCCTAAACCTTACCTTTTTGCACAGGCTTGTGTGAATCCCGCCTGGATGTGTGGTACCTGTTCGAACAAGGCCAAACACAGAACGAAATCACCAAGCCGACCAAGCCCTAAACCCTAGGAACGCGGCCCACAACGCTAAAGCCTTAAACCCACCACGCTAAACCCTGACCTTAAGACTTCAACCCTCCAATCTCAAGTCCTGAGCCTAAATCTTAACCCTCCGAAACTCCACCTATAGTCTCCATTGCCGCTCAATATTCGGAGATAGGATCCTTAACTACAAAAGCGGTTAAACAAAAAAGAAACTACAACGGAGACTATAGGCGTAGTCGTAACCCTAACCCCCTGAACCATAAACCCTAAATCCCTAAACCCCGAACCTCTAAACCATAAGCCCCTAATTAAACCCAAAACCCTGAACCCTAAGCCTCTGAACCCTAAACCCCTAACACCTCTAACCCCAAACCCTGTTAACTTCTACTGTACCAGCTCCTGTCCTGCAAGCTGTCTGCGCAAAAAAGCACCGGCTGGTAAGTTGTAATCCTGCTGCATTTAGGGCGTTTCCGAAAAATAGGGGACCCTTTAAGGGCTCCTAGAAGGGATCTATAAAGGGTTTAGGGTTTAGAGAGTTTCCGAACATCGGGGACCCTTTGAATTCAAGGTTCCCCTAAGGGATCTATAAGGGTTCTATTAAGGGTTTAGGGTTTAGAGTTTCCGAAAACAGGGGACCTTAACATAGTAACCGCTTTTGAGCTCAGTGTCGGGCTTGAAGGCGCCAGGGTTTAGACGGGTTGGAAGGTTTCGGCGCTCACACTCGGACAATCCAGGCGAGGCATATGGTTCGAGGTTTGAAGGTTTAGGGTTCGGTGTTGATCTTGACGTCGGGCTTTAGGGTATACCTATAGTCTCCGTTGTAGTTCCTTTGTTTGGTTAACCAAAAAACGATATTATAGGATCCTAACCATAACATGGGTTAACCAACAAAGGAACTACAATAGAGACTACAGGTGGGTCTCACTGTTTTCCTGGTGAGGTTTGGGGGAGAGAAGCCCTCTTCACCCGGGTATCGAGCTCACGACTTTCTGCCAGGGAACCCTTAAAAAGGGCCCCTAGGTATATACCCTTAATATAGCTATTATATACCCATTATACAGCCCGTTATAGAGAAAGAGTTCTGGACTCGGGTTTCGTGTTTCAGGGCGAGAGCGTGTTATTCTTTGAGGCACGGAAAGTCTGCTGCGAGCTATGTCTATGTAAAGCTATCAACTTCAGGGAAGATGGAAGAGCCCCAACGAAAGAAACCTGACCATGCTTCTGCGCAACTCCCAGCATCTGAACCGAATGAGATATATACTATAGGAGCCTTAATAATTAGAGTAGGCTTTGGGGCCTTATACTATAACTATAATAAGGACCCCCCCCCCCCCCCCCCATAATAGTACAAGTCATTTTTAAGGCCCCTATGTTACTGGAATCCACCGTGCAACATCCCAACTTGGAGGTTCATGGGTAGTTATAAGTGGGGTTACAAGTCCCCCGATATGGGTTATAAGTATAGTTACCCTACTCATAACCGCGCTTATAACTACCCATGAACCTCCAAGAAACATACGAAAGCCCGGAAAGCGCTCTGCCAAGCGGCGGGTACTCTTGCTTGGCAGCCTGCGAGTCAGCTGAAGATCGAAAGGGAGCAACTCCGAATCATAAACGGTTTAGGGTTTAGGGAGCAACTCCGAATCCTAAACGGCTTAGGGGTTAGGGAACAACTCCGAATCCTAAACGGTTTAGGGATTTAGGGAGCAACTCCGAATCCTAAACGGTTTAGGGTTTAGGGTTTAGGATTGGCAACTGGGTTCTAGCGATTCTGCCTGCGAAGAAGATTCGCGCAGATTTTGAAACAAATCTGGCTTTGGGACCTGGAGTTTTGAGGGACGAAACTACTACTTGGAGGATCATGGGACTTAGTAAGTAAGGTTATAAGTACCTTAATTGGGGTTCTAAGTAGCTATAAGCTATAAGTATAGCTACCCTAATAATAACCCTAGTTACGAAGTCCCATGATCCTTTAAGTAGAACCTGTGGCCACGCCTGGACGGGATCTAAGGACAGAATCGTCGGCTTCGCCAGGTCCTTCATGCTTCCCATCTCGCGGCACTCCTGCCGTCGAAACCCCGGGCAACCGTTTGGGGATGAGGGATCAAGGGCTAGCTTCCCCGGTAGCCCCTTTAATAATGAGTCAGGGTATATACCCTTTTTCCTACTATGTGGCCTTTGCAAGGGGAACTCACAAAGAAAAGGGGCAAAGGGTACCGCTGGGGAACCTAGAGGATGTAGGGCAAAAGCCAGAAAGTTGGAATATGATTATCCTAAGCCCTTTATGGCAAATTATAAGGTATCCTACCCTGAAACCATATTCCAACTTTCTGGAGTTCCCTTTAAGGCTCTCCGATAGAAGCTGCAGATCATCTCCTGGTCCTTGCTTGATAGGAGTCTATTCAAGAGCACCTGCTGGGCGTTTTACTAATCCTCCAAGAGCCTGAAACCCAAAACTGAGTTCTTGTTAAGGAATTGAAGTTGAGTTACCATAATCGGGATCTTTGGTACATAATATGATTATGGTAACTTAAAATGAATAACAAGAACCCAGAAAACCCTGGACCCAGTGCGAGTGAGGACTGTGCCTCTAGCTGCCATCGGGTCGGTGCTGCTTTGGGCCATGATTCGAGTTTGGGCCAGTATTTTCGCCTTGCGCAACTAAACCAAACCACTCACACCGAACCAAAGTATCAGAAAATATCAGAAGTTCTGGGATCTCTCGGAGTGGCCAGGGATCCCAATAGCCCGAAATAACTCGTCGTACCATGATTCGCCTTGAGCAAGAGCCTCTCAACGGTTTAAAGGGAGTCCGAAAACGAACCTCTAAAACTGCATAACCACACCCAAACCCAAGGACATGTCCGTGCTCCAGAGGTATATTGCGCTCCTAAACCCTAAATCCCTATACATAACCCCCTATAAACCTTCGTAAACCTCTATAAACCACAAAAAACCCTGTAAACCCCCACAAACCCGTATAGATCCTAAACTTAGAGTGGACCTCGGAGGGATCCGCATCGCAGGCCCACTCCATCTCACCGAAAGAGCTGAGCCTGAGGAGCCGGCGAGAACGAGCGAAACTCACTGGGGAACCCGGTATAAATCGAAGGTTGGGGCATACTTTCTACCCATAGGCTCCATAGTAGTTCCTTTTTGGGATTACCTTATAGGAGGTACAAACCTAAGAGTAGCCTAGGAATAAAAAGGATGCCCTTTTTTGGTTTAAAGGGGGTTTATAAGGTAACCTGAACCCTGAAAAAGGGAATAAGGGCCTATACTCTGGGTCCTAGGGTATAAATCGAAGGTTGGGGTTTACTTTCTAGGGTCTAGTGTTTAAGGGGTTTAGGGATTTAGGGGTTTAGGGGTTTGGGGGCTTAGGGATTTAGGGTTTAGGGTCCATGAACTCGATCATTTAAGCCCCGTAGACGATGCCAGGGAGCAAGCCAGCACCGAAGGCTTTGCAGTCGCTACCTCCAGCCAGGAGGGAAAGCATCATGAAGTTCAAGGTTGAGGGGTTCTATTTGCTATCTTACATTCTAATACTAATGTACAGTATAGTATAGCAAAGTAGGGTCCAGTATAGATAAATGATAAATGCTATACATCATAGTCGATCTTTGGGGTTTTTGGGGCTTCAGGGTTTACAGTAAAAGCCAGAAAGTTGGAATATGATTATCCTAAACCCTATATGGTAAATTATAAGGTATCCTACCCTGAAACCATATTCCAACTTTCTGGAGTTCCCTTTAGGTAGTTCGGGTTCAGAGACTGTTGAAGGTATCGGGCTTTGGGCCTTTGGGCCTTTCGACTGACTGTACCTGTAGCCGAAAAGACCTACCTTTTTAAGGAACTATATGGGGGTTTCCGAAAATAGGGGACCCTAATATAGTACCCAAAATAGTAGGATCCTCATTATAAGGCCCCCAAAAGAAGGTACCCCTACATTATAAGGACCCCAAAATAGTGTATCCCCAATTTTCGGAAACTCCCATATATAGAAACCATAATAAGGAACCCTGAAAAGGTAGGTCTTTCCGACTACAAGTAGGGTCTAGGTCAAGTTTAGGGTTCACAGTATGACTACATCTGGTCAGGAGCCTCACGCAGCTAGAACACAAACACACACAGTTAAGTATGGTGATGTTGCACTGGGATTCTACAGTACATGGCAGCAGTAGCGACCAGTTGGAGAACAATGCTGCAGCTCAAGCTCATGCCGTACAAAGCGATCAGGCTTGAGGTTTGCGAAAGTTGCATGGGACGGCTATAGTATAGTTGTCAGAGTGCCTAGCCTCAAGGAGTGTGGCAGTCGTGGTCTCTGGTTTCGGTCCAAGTGTTCATCTACTTCTGTAAGTGAAACCATGAGCACAACAACTAAGCTGCGAGCATGACGACTCAGCCAGCGTCAGCGTCGTTGTTCTTAGACTAGTTCTGAGTTGTGCCGTGATTGTACTTGTCTTCTGTCAATGAAACTTGCAGAGCCTACGATTACCTTTAGCCCCGACCATCAAGGTCAAAGCCTGTCTGCGAACTGCACTTACCGCTGTTCGATGTTGAGATGCATGCTAAGCCGTTTCAACAAAAACTAAATGCTTACAAGTCAGGACTTGTTCGTTCGGTAATCGTCCAATTTGATAAACAGCTATTGGCCTTAACTACATCCCCGGCTAAGTAGTCAGCTGACTGTCTGCCCAAACGGTTGGACTAGGTAGTTCATGCCTCAACCAAACATCCTGAAAACTAAATCATTTATTTACTTACCTGCGAGTACGGACCCATACCCAAACAAGACGTCCTGTAAATGAGGGATCGCAAAGTCATTGTGACAGACCTAAAGAACATAGGTTGTGACTATGGGATCCGGGGGCTGCCGGCCTTCGCGCAGCAATCCGAACCTCATATGAAGAATTGCCCCACAAAGGCTTTGCTATCCGAGTTTTTCATATATGCTTCTGCTTCAGGCTAATATTTGGGAGTTGACCAGGTCTATCCTTTTGTCTCAGATGCTTTAGATGTCCACTGGGTTTATCGGACTTTCGGAGGGTTGTAGGATTTGGGAGTTTCCGAAAATTAGGGGTATCTTATTTGGGGGGGTCCTCATAATAAGGATCCTACTATTTGGGTACTGTATTAGGGTCCCATATTTTCGGAAACACCCAGTAATTACCCACAATTTGTGCAATATAGCTGTACTTGTCATGGAAGCCCTCGGCATCCCTCTACACTCTACACCTGGGAGGTCTGATCGCCCTAGAAAGCTTGCAAAACGGTTGATGATATAAATCCTGCATTACCCTAAGGCCCCTAAACTATGGGATGTATGGCATATTCCTTATTATGGGTAATGCAGGATTTATGTCATCAACCGTAATTCATCCTACGCCAGTGGTACTCTGGAGGCATGCTAGGGTTGACGTCCACTCAGCTATGGAAGCTCCTGCTTCCCGTGCATTCGGTTCTGGGGAAAGCAAGCAAGCAAAACGATGTAATGCAGTCGTCTGAATAATCAGAATAGGGTTTGGGGAGTGTAGTTGAGTTTCAGTTTTATGCCGAACCCTAAAGAATACAGTTGGCAAATGACGAGTTAGGCCCTAATCACTTGTCCTGTATACATGAACAGTGATTGCGTGGCTCATCCTTGCACCCTCACTATCTGATACCGAACTTGGCATCAGAATGATGACGGGAAGGTTCCCCAAGATCGAGCAGACTCTGTGTATGCAGCTCGTGTTCAGTCCAGGTTTGTGGGCCCCGAACTCAAGCCTGATTTTCGTCAGACGATTTTTGAAGTGTGATGAGTCGAGGGCACTCCCCAGTCTGCCTGTACAGGCACATACTCAGGAATTTGTGAAAACATTGGGTTTGGGGCCGAGTTAGGGGACAAGCCGTTTCTGCACCCTGAGCTTGCTTTCCAGCCTGCGACAGTTTCTGCTGCGAAGCAAAGGAAGGGCTTACAGCAAGCCTTTCGGCAGAGCTGCAACCGAAAGCCTGAAGAAGTTGTGAGAGTCACCGCAGCGGGGCAAACAAGAGAGATGTGGCTGCACCGACGAGGACAGATGAACATAACAAACGGCAAGGCCAAGCACAACCACGCTCCCACACCCTATTCGGGAAGCCCTGCCCCCCAACCGGCAACAGCTGAACACCCCAACTAAACCCTAGAAAATGAAAAAATATCCATCCGGAGCACTCCACGGTGAACCAATACACCGAGGCGAGGCGTGTGACATCGTCGTCGGAGGCTGCCAGAGATGCAAGGCCTCGGAAGCTTGCACTACAACATTGCGCATATGCTGATGGCATCCGTGCCCTGGAAAACAATGACTTCTGCTACACAATCCCGCGCTGCGGGAATACGCAGTGCTTCAGGGTATATCCCCACTCAGGGCCGCCGAGCTGACATACATAAACCCTATAAGCCTACAGCTACAGGGTTTACGGTTAAGGGGTTTAGCATGTAGGGGATGCAGTTTTGGAGAACCCCCCCTTACGATAACAGCTGCAAGGGACTCTATCAAGGGACTGGGCCAAAACGCCATAGTATAGTACTACGATTTAACTTGCCATTTTCTGTGACTCAACAGTATTCTACTATTTCGACTATCCTTCTCATGACCACTAGTATGATTCTCATTAAGGTAACATTAGCACCATGTAATGACATCGCTGTCGAGCGACCTATCTCTTGCGAGAAATCCGCGAAGGCCGGATTCGCAAAGAGAGGGACGTGACCCAAAAGTTCATGACAAACCTGGGAATGGGAGTTTCCTAAAATAAGGGGTGCCGTATTCTTGGGTCCTTATAATAAGGATCTTTCTACTTAGGGTACTATATTAAGATTCCATTGTCCTATTTTCGGAAACCCCGAATCGACTCCCTGGTGCTTAGTAGGGAATGGGTTAGGCACGGCCCCCATACAGTAAGTGTCGGTGATAGGGCTATATACTATTAAGGTCCGACTATATCTATATTTTGAATATTATGCAACTATTACTGAGTGGAGGCCGTATGCAAGGAATGGGGGAATGGATCCCTATAGTTGTCCCTATATACTCCCCAATAATAGTCCCCATAACAATATGGTTTGAGTCAGTTCGGCATAGGGTGCCAGGACTAAGAATGCAGGATGTGGGGTATAGGGCTTCGGGTATAGGGTGCACGGCTTTGGGGCTTGGAACGGGTTCAGAAGCTTTGCACGTACATGTGAGGGCTTCTTGCGGGGTGCACTCTGATCTTGTTTGCAAGTCTAGCCTGTTGCTGGATTGGCTAGCAAGGGAGGCTCTACTTGAAATGCAAAAGGGTTTATGCAGGGGTTTGGGCTCGTGCGAATCTCATCCTCGTGCCCAACCCTTAACCCAATAAACCGCCTGTCCTCCCTTGTCACTAGTCCATGGGAGCCTCGTGAACAAACACTCAAGCCGATCAAAAACCCTACAGCTCAAGTTAGCGAGTTGTTCTAAATGTTGCCGCTCTGAGGCGACTAGGCTTGCTAGGGGCCCCTTCGGTAAGTCCCTACGTGGAGGTTCAGGGGTAGTTATAAGTGGGGTTATAAGTCCCCTCATATGGGTTAAAAGTAGAGTTCTCCTACTCATAACCCTACATATAACTATACCCATGAACCTCCAAGTAAAAGCAGAACACAAGTTAGATCCGAAAGTGTAAAGCCCAAGCTCCCAAGCCAAAACCACCACATGTCGATGCAAGCCCGGCCACATCTGGCTCTGGAGTGTAGAAAGGGTTTCCATGGTGCCTGCCAGGAATTTCAGCAAGACTACGACGAAGAAGCTAGAACATCCCGCAGTTCAGAAGCCCTCTAAGACCCTTGCTGCCGAGTTGACTGACTACGCAAATAATCAGGGAACTCTACAACGGCTCGCTGGGCGGACAGTCCTGATGTACTGCGTCGAATAGAAAACCTCGGGTGGCCAGGTCGAACCATGACTCACACTGACTCGCGCTTGCCTCCGAAGGTGTATGAAGCATGGACATACAATGATGCACCTGTACCAATACATGGCAAACATTGTTTGAATGTTGCTAAACCTTTTTAACTCTTCGCAGTCCCCCTGAACTCCCTCAAGACTTCAATGTGATGTCCCTTGTACATGCCCTGCACCCTACGACCCCGAACAACAACAGCACGAACTAGAAAACACCCACTTGTTGAACCCTTGCAGAGCCCGACAAAACCCCTACTTGGAGGTTCATGGGACTTAGTAAGTAGGGTTATAAGTAAGGTAACTATAGTTTTATCTACTTATAACCCCAATTAAAGTACTTATGATCTTACTTACTTAGTCCCATGATCGTCCAAGTAGGGCACTGTGAGATGAGAAACACGTATTTCCACGGGAGTTCCTGACTCGGTGTCACCTTTCTCATGCAACTAACCTTTCTCATGCAACTAACCCTAAATTCCTAAACCCCTAAACCCTAAACCCTAAACATAACCTTAGCTTTCCTCCAGTATATAACTGCATTTAGGTATACAGAAGTAAGCAGAATGCCTTACAGCCGGACGCCTAGGCCCTAAATCAGAGAAGCTTAACCCTGATCTCCCCGAACCCGAAAGCCTCTTCCCTGAAGCCTACTTGGAGAATCATGGGACTTAGTAAGTAGGGTTATAAGTACCTTAGTTGGGGTTATAGGTAGCTATAAGTATAGCTGCCCTAATCATAACCCTAGTTACTGAGTCCCATGATCATTTAAGTAGACCCTAAACCCTATAGATCCCTTTAAGGAACCCTATAGATCCCTTTAAGGGGCCCTTTACTAAGTCCCATGATCCTTTAAGTAAGCCCTGTTTGGTTCCAGGAGCCCGGAAGGCCAACGCATTCAGGAAGTCGCGTGCGGACAGCAGGCCACTGATCGGGCGCAAGGTGAAACCTCTGGGTTTTAGATTTAGGTTTGAGGTTTAGGGTTTAGGGTTTAGGGTTTAGGGTTTGAGGTTTAGGGTTTAGGGTTTAGGGTTTAGGGTTTGAGGTTTAGGGTTTAGGGTTTAGGGTTTAGGGTTTGAGGTTTAGGGTTTAGGGTTTAGGGTTTAGGGTTTGAGGTTTAAGGTTTAGGGTTTAGGGCTTAGGGTTTAGGGTTTGAGGTTTAGGGTTTAGGGTTTAGGGTTTAGGGTTTAGGGTTGAGGGTTCTAGATTTTTGCCCCTCCTACCTAGCAAGGACGAGGCCCGCATTGCAGAGAATCTTGGGTTTTAGACTTCGGTTTGAGGGTTCTGGTTTGAGCTCCTGTTTATGTGTGCCCAACCGTCTGAGCTAACATAAGGCCAAATACTTTAGGCTTTAGGGTTAAGAATTTAGGATTTAGGGTTTCGGGTTCCACTGGTTTGTTTAGTGATTTGGGAGGGTTAAGGCATGAGGGTTTTGCAGACACTGTTCTGTGAAGTCTGCAGGCTGAACTCATCAGGTTTATGAGTGTTTTCTGTTTATGCGAGCCACATTTAATGTAGGAGTTTCCGAAAATAGGGGACCTTAACTTAATACCCTAAATAGTAGAATCCTTATTTTAAGGACCCCAAAACAAGGTACGGTCCAGGGTACAGTTTTGGTGTTGTATCATCGTTAAAGTTCTGACAGTTACCCATTTCAACAGTCCGACCACTCTCGGCATGTCTACTAACAAGTTCTTGGAAAGGCGATCACTTCTGCAAACAGCCTAGTCCATGCAAGAGCCGAAGAGGCATCTTATGTATGGGTATGATCTACTAGAGTTGTAGATTTAGATTTCGTGTATAAAAGAAGGCACTAGACAGGATCGCTGGGGCTGTTGTCATTGAAACTCTTACCTTCAAGCGAGCAGAGACGATGCCAAAAGCATGCGGAGCCTCGTGAATCATGGATATACGGCTGATTGGTGGATGAAAGCGGAGGCCAGCATTCAATGTTTCCTTCATATAGGGGCCTTAGAAAGTCTAATAGGGCTTTGGGACATATTATATTATAGCTATAAATAAGGAACCCCCGAAACAGTGTAGGTAGTTAGTAAAGCCTGAATTTTCTAGTAAAAACCTGCAGCTGCTTGAAACTATGACTCTGCGAAAACTCAAGCTGAAAATGGGAACGCTGAGCAGGTAGTCTGGGAGGGCTTCGCTGAGGACATCTCTACTCCAAATCCCTAAACCAGATGAATGGTTCCCGAAAGTTGGCGCACCCTACTAGGATGCCCAGCAACCTAGGAATAAAAAGGGCTCCCTTTTTGGTATTGCGTAACTTTACAAGGAACCTAGGACTACAGAAAGGGAAGAAGGGTCCTACTGGGCATCCTAGCCTAAGACTCAGATGTAGGCTAAGCAGAATCAGTGGTTTCATTGTTCCGGCCGGCAGAAGATACTTCAGAACCTGTACTATTTTGAAGGTTCCTTACTATAACTATAGTATACTGGGCCCCTGACAACTTAACGCTTGAAAACCGCCTAGGCCCATGATATCTATCGAGCGCTGTTCGCAAGCACTAGGGTTTTCTGGCTTTAATGTCGGGGCCTTAACAATTAGAATAGGGCTTTTTGAGCCCATTGTACTATCATCATAATAAGGGGCCCCCAGCCCCAAACAAAGTATTGGAAAGGCCAGCGGGAAACCTGTCCGCTGCTGCAGGAAGTCTGAGATATCAGCCAGCCTCAATGGGATACAATTTCGGGTTTACCAGGACCCTCCAAGGGCCCTATCGTCCTTAATAGCGGGTATTTAGTTGGGGTATATTAGAGGGCAGTTGGGGGGGTCTAGGTAGCGTGTAGAGTTTAGTTTATGCTCTCGAGTTCAGTTTAGGGCTTAGGGTTTGGAAAAGAACCTCTCGCATGGCAGGAATCGAAGTCCACAAACGAGGAAGTTTCGGGAACAACAACTGGTTGCACTGTGTCTTCATCCAGAAAAAAAGGGTTCGGGTTTTAGGGTTTCGGGTTTAGTCTAGGTGTTGGGGTTTAAGGCCCGGTTTCTGCTCAGGCTGACTCCGGAGAAGGATTCCAGAATGCAGCACTCCACGGTTCATCAGTAAGTGATACAGGGGCCTTGCTATTTATAGCAGGCTTTTTGGATTTCTTAGAAGTAGCTTTAATCTATATAAGGACCACAATAGGGAAACGGTTAGTACTTAAACCGGCCTATGATAACCCCTGTTATAATACCCTGAAGGAACTTCTGCCGAATTCAATCCCACAGATGATGCTTTCAAGGTGGTTTCTAAGATCAGAGCTCTGGGTTCCGCGAAGTCTGACGCTGGAACTCGATGGCGTAGATCCGGAATTTGGTTATGAACTTGTCGACAACTCGTGGAATGTGGGCCCGGCTTTCTCAAATCTTGACAAATGTCTCACACGACTGAAACTCCTGTAATATTGTAGTCGCCTGACTAAAAGCCGTAGAGACAACTTCGCCCCCTTCCGGCCCAGCAGCTGCGGAATGTTGTTCGCCCTGTAGCCTGGGATCAAGCATTTCAGGCCCACCTATGGTCAACTTTTTCGGTTTACGAAACTTAAGCTTTCGATCCTTCAAAGGTAGCCCTCAACCCTCAACCCACGAAAAGGAAGGACAATGGACACCTATAGGCACCTTGTGGGTTCTGGGATTTAACTGTATCGGGCTTGCGGCTCCGGAAGCCCAAAGACCCTGAGCGCCAAAATCACTTGTGGGAACTTGTGGGCAGGGATTATGGCATGATCTGAGGGCCTGAATATGGCGAGAGTAGGGTTTTGGCGAGTATCATAGTGAAGCTCGAACAAGGATGCCTGCAGAAGACTTATTTTGCAGGTAGTCAGATTGCAATACATCATGGATCGGTCAAAACAACTTCGGTATGACCTCAGGTTCCACTTTTTCGAACTCCCTGAGCAAAAACGCTAATCCTTTGATCATGGTAGGATGATGTATTACAACACAACGAGCATAGTCTGACATAGTACATTTACACAGGTTTACTGTATGTCTGTATGTATGTATGTGTAATATTCGTAGATACCACGCATAATATATATATATATATATATATATATATGTATATGTATATGTATGCGTGTATTGAGGTTGCCGTCTGAGTTGCAAAGTTGCTCATCTCCAACCACAACCCTTTGAACTTCAGACTCCGCCAGACACTGAGGCTGCAGCCGCAATACTTCTCCATCTGCTGCAGCATATCTCCTGGGGTTTAGAGCCCAGGGCTTAGTTTTGCAAGCTGAGTTTTTGGGGTTTAGGGTTTGGGTTAATGAAACCCCTATTTACACCTGGACTTGATGAAACCCTCAACCCTGAACCCTCAACCCTGAACCATAAACCCTGAACCCGAAACCCTCAACCCTAAACCCTGAACCCTAAATCCTAAACCCTACTGTACGGGACAGGGTTCTAAAGTCTCGGTATGCTCTGAACCGAAACACGGCCGGAGACCTGGAGCCCGGAAGCCACGGCTTTTGGCAAAACTGAACTAACCCGCTTTAAGGTTTTTTTTTTAAGTTGGGGTGACGTTTCTTTGTCTGTCTGCCCGCACGGCTCCCAACAAGCTTTAAGGGTTTAGGGTGCAGGGTTTTAGGGTTTAGGGTTTAGGGTTTGCGAGTTAAGGGTTTAGGGTGCAGGGCTTGGGCGTTTGGGGTTTAGGGTGCAGGGCTTGGGGTTTGGGGTTTAGGGTTAAAGCTTTGGGGTTTAGGGTTTAGGCTGGAACCTTCGCAGCTCTTGCAAGCCTGGGCTCAGAAGGATACGATTTCGATTATTTCGATTAGGGCAAGGCGCTGTACTCGCTGCAAGCCCACTTCGCGTGGCAATCTTGCAGTCGCTCGTAAACGGCCTGCCAGCTTTCTACTGCGAGAAAGGTTTAGGGTTTAGGGTTTGGCTTCACCGAACTGGACGTAAGGCTGCAAAAGGACAATACAACGAGCTTTCCAGCTCGAGGAGTTGGCAGCTTACACAACACATGAGGAGAGCTAGCTTAGGTCTGCATGCTGTCGCGTCCAAGAAGCAGCTAAACAACAGTCGTCTGCGCCCATCACCCACAAGCCGAAATAAACACATAACCATTCCGAGAGCACTTAGTACGGCACACCCTGAGGGCCCGCATGCCTGCCAAGTTGAAACCTCTTTGTCGGTATACCTCAGTTGTGGGTTCACTTGGCAGTTTTCTCTCGCAGCAGTGGCGATTCGGAAAAGCAACATGGTACAGTAAAAGATTGAACACTCGTGAAGCTGCTGGTATGGGTAAGTCTTACCTATTGAGGAAAAATTGTTTAAGTTAAGTATGAAGCAACTGCACTTATTTAAAGTACCAGGAGTAATGGTAATAGGTATCATAATGACAATCATAGCAGTAAGTATTACCAACCAGAATAGTACCAAGAGTGTAATAACAGTACTAACGTATGAATAGTACTAATAGTAATGATGTAGCAATGGTAATAATAGTAATGATAGTAATAATTGTAATAATAGTAATAATAGTAATAATAGTAATAATAGTAATAATAGTAGTAATAGTAATAATAGTAATAATAGTAATAATGGTAATAATAGTAATAATAGTAATAATAGTAGTAATAGTAATAATAGTAATAATAATATAATAGTAATAATAGTAATAATAGTAATAATAGTAATGATAGTAGTAGTAGTAATAATAGTTATAATAATAAAGATATTAATACTAATACTAATAATAATAATAGTAATAATAGTAATAATAGTAGTAATAATTATAATAGTAATAATAGTAATAATAGCAGTAATAGTAATAATAGAAATAATAGCAATAATAGTAATAATAGTAATAATAGTAAGAATAATAATAATATAGGGGTATCCTATACCCGGTTCTGCAGGGCATTCTCGGGGGGTCGGGTAAGGCCACCCCCCTACTCAATTGGCACCCGATAAGATTCGTCCAACCACATTAGTTAACTGTCACAGCGAATCTGGATGCACAGCACGCCTTCATGTCGTGCGGCAGTTTGCTACAGCGTCGACGCAAGCCACTATTCTAAACCCTAAACCCTGAACCCTAAACCCCAAACCCCAAATCCTAAACATCACAGCAACCTGGCCAGTCAACAGCAACAAAGGTAGAGTACTTGCAGGAAAGTTGGATCGGAGTTCTCCTCTGAGGCCCTTAAGGAGACACAGGGACACCGATAATCCAAACGCTGACGAGCCTTCCTCCATGTTCATAGGCTTCATAGTAGTTTCTTTTTGAGATTACCTTAAGCTTCTAGGACTCTAAATATGAACCCCAAAAAAGGAACTACTAGGGAGCCTCTAGGTGTTCCCAAACACCAAAACCCTACAACTACGTACTGCGACGCAGCAGGGCGAACTATGGTACTGAACAAATCTGCCAGGTGTGCCAGCAAACATGCCCTATGTTTCTCTCTGAGCCGGTTTCTGGCAATCATAACATCGTTTTCTGCTGACCCTAACTGGGATGCACGGGAAACACATAGCGAAGAAGCCCTCAACCCTAGAACCCCTAAACCCTGTAAGCCCTAAACCCTAAACCGTATAAGCCCTATTCACCCTAAGCACCCCCAATTCAGCCGTTCTAAAATCTAAAGTTCCAGCTCTAAACCTCGCTGAGGCTCCTCTCTCCAAGCTATTTAGAGGACCATGGGACTTAGTAAGTATGGTTTTAAGTAAGGTCACTTTATGGGAGTTTCCGAAAATCCCTTTTCACGCTAATAGAGTACCGTGAATGGCAGGGTCCTTATTATGAGGACCCCCGAAAAAGGTACCCCTCATTTTCGGAAACTCCCATATCTATATCTACTTATAACCCCAATTGAGGTACATATAACGCTACGAAGTAAGTCCCAGGATCCTCCAAGCTACGGATCAATTGAACTCAGACCTGTAGTCTTTGAGGTACCCCAGAAGCCTGACAAGACCCAGAAGGATACTACCTGCAGTCTCCATTCTAGCTCCTTTTTGGGGTTACTTTGTAGGATCCTTAATATATAATATTGGTTAAACCAAGAAAGGAACGACAATGGAGACCATAGGTACTTGTGCCCTCGACATGCACGGGTGTAGGCGCTTGGGATTAAAGCTTTTGTTTGGGTTCTGGATTTGGGTTTCCACCTGCGGGGAGAACTGCCATCAGCTAGTCCTTTTGGGGCCTTACGTGCGCAAGCCCTTGAAAGACTCGTGAAGACCTCTAAACCCTCAACTAAACCCAAGGGTCCAAAGGACCCAATAATTAGGTACTCGGCTTTGGGATAGTAGTTATGTAGGTTAGGATTTGGGTGAGTATATGATTATTGGGTACTTGGACCCTTGGGGTAAACCCTAAAGCCGACACCGAACCCAGCGGCTCGATGAAGGGCAAGCGATCGCCGTGGCGGTAAGTCTTCGCCAGCCGGACGATGCGATCTCTCCTGGCTCAGTACCCTAATGTAGCTATACCCCCATTAGAACCATAATAAAAATGTGTTTTTAAATATTCTCTTGGGTTTTTATATGAACAAGAATAAAAGTAATTCCTAAGGAGACCATAGGTAGGGGTCGGCCCGAAGACAGAAGAGGCTCCTGGGCTCATGCATAGTCTACTACTACGCATAATACGGAGCCCTGGCATTAGCGCTTGTAAGGTGCTCACTATGATTGCAGTGAAGGGTTTACGGTTTAGTTCCATGATCAAGAAAGTTGGCAGATCCGAAGCAGACAAAATCTGTACATGCACGGACCAGGAACTTGCGGGCTCGCAATAGCAACAAGCAAGAACAGCAGGAAAGCCGCCCTAAACCCAGAACCCTTCAAACCTTAAAGCCTAAAGTCACACCCCTGAAGCTTAAACGTTCAGATGTTTCCTGAGGAAGCTGAAGGCCATTAAAGGGGGGGGATAAAGGAAGTATGTTAACTACCTCAAACAGATACAGAATGGACTGCCCTGAGCTCAAAGCTTACAGGTACCGACTCCAACATCTAGGGAATGAATAGGAACTATTCACAGTGCCGGAAACGGCTTCTTTGCTGTACTTCTCTACTCCGAAGGAAAGCTGTTCCTGTCCCTGTCGGCCTTTCCCGGTACTCCGCATCGCTGAAGCCGGGATGGTCCTGTGGTCTGGGTTTTGTCCCTCCTACTTAGCCAGCACGACGCCGGCATTGCAGCGTAACTTCGAAGTCACAGTTGACAACAGCTTCCCTTATCGAAGCTTATTACAATCCCCGGCTTCTAGGCAACTTGTCGGCCTAAAGGCCCAGAACGCAGGGTCTGGGTTAATTAGGGCTTAGGGTTTAGGTTACCTCCCTCATTTAAGGGTTCGGGGTTGGGCTGAAGGCGCAGAGTTTGCGTTGCTTCAGGGCTAACATAGGAGTTTCCGAAAACTAGGAGTACCTTATTTTGGGGTCCTTATAATAAGGATCCTACTATTTAGGGTACTGCAGTAGGGTCGCCCATTTTCGGAAACTCCCACATAGCTGTTGGCGACTGCAATCGAAATAATGGTTTTACGCTTCTTTGGGCGTGCGATCAGCTCCTTATTGTTCTGGAAACATCTGAGGGTCTAGGAGTCGAGGAGTCCACCTCAACCCGAAAAACTAAACCGTGCCTCTGTGTATTCATAATACATACATGCATACATACATACATCCAGACACATTTTTTATCTGCGTATATTTAAAGCTATTTTTGTATTTAGTTCGGGCCTTTGAAAACTGACTATCGTCGGGGGTTCGTTTGAACTATAGGGTGCATGAAGACCGCTTTGCGGGTCCAGGGTGGAATCGGGGCTTGGGGACTTAGTGAGGACGCTCAGAAGCCAACTTTTGCAGCCATCCTCTATCATGCCTTACACGACGCTTGGGAGGAGGAGCGGGTTGCGTTCAGGGCATCTAAAAATGTTCCTGCATGGCTGATGAGATGTCGTGATAAGCGGCATACATAGAGAGTCCACTGCTGAGGAGAATACCTTGAATCATGCTAAGGATCCTTCCCTAGTGTACCCTCGCTCTTACCTACTTTGAACTAGTTCACTACCCTAACCCCCCAAATCCCAAACCTTCTATCACGTACGGAGTATATCGGAATTTGAACCCTAACTACACCCGAAACTTCATAAACCCCTGAAGCCCTACACCCTAATTCCTGAACCCTAGAGTGAGAGGGTATTGGGCCAGACTGGAGCACTAATGAGTCTTTGACCAGGTTTTTGCTCACAGATCATGCAGACAGTGGGACCACTCTCGACTGCCAGAAGGTACTGGGTAACTGTTTGCAGCTACTCCTTGATTAGAGTAGAAGCTGAAAAGTTGGAAACCCCAGAGCCTCCATCCTTAAGAGTAGTGTATAAGGAATCCCTGCACTACTTGGCCTTAATCTAGTTTCCAACTTTATGGGGTTTATTGTAACATCAACGGGGCTTAATATATGGGCCTTATAGTTAGAATCGAGTTACTTTTCAAGAACTTTTATGGGGTTTACTGTAAAGGATTGAGCCTCAGCACGATGAGAAGTAGTGAAAAAAACCTGTCTCAGGATCTACGGCGGCCTTGCAAGAAGTTCGAAAGTTTAGGGCTACGGTTGATGATACAAATCCTGCATTACCTATAATAAGGAATATAGGAATACGCCATGATGCCCATAGTCTAGGGCCATTTAGGTAATGCAGGATCTATATCATCAACCGTAGGACTTTCCCGCGCCCATGCAGCCGCTTTGGCCCTTGCTGCAAGGGGTTCAAGGAAGGGCAAGAGGAAGGCGCTTTAAGCTTCGGGGTCCTCGTTGATCAGCGCCGATCCTCCGTCCAAAGTATCCACCGTAAGGTCCAGGTCACGGATGTTCAAGGGGAACCTGGCTGAGTCCAGGGTTGGAAAACGCTTCAATCCCTTTTTGCTAAACCCTACTAATCCCCTAAGCCCTAAACCCCTATACACTAATGTGCCGGTCGGTTTAGGCATATGGGCTCTTTTAATGCGTTTTTTCCGGGGCTAATTCCGACCGGTCGCCCCAAATTGGGGTGGTCTAATTAATGCGTTTTTTTTGGCTGGGGGTATTTTATGGGGGCGGGGCTGTGCTGTTTGCTGATGGTCAATCTTAAGGCAGCCACGACCTGAAGCCCCCACCCAAACCCTAAAACCCTGGCCCTGAAGACCTAAACTAGGCATACTTAAGCCTAACACCTGAAGCCCCCACCCAAACCCTAAAACCCTGGCCCTGAGGTTTTGTAGGCTTTCTAAGGGGCTCGGCAGGGCTTTCCTAAGGTTCAAAGCCACCCAGACCCTGAGCCCCACTCAGACCCCTGACCCCTGTCCGGGGCTACCGGTTCCAAATTAAAGAGACCAAAACTTTTTGGTCGGGGGGGGAGGGGGGGGTGGTGGTACCCTAGTACTAAACCGACCGCCACATTAAACCCCAAAACCCTCCCAAAGCCCAACGCTACAAACAAGTGGGTGGTTGTCAAAATTATGGTCCCTGTTTGGGTACCCTAAACATGAAGTGTCCCAAGCTATAATAAGGACCCAAAGACGGACCCTAAGTTTGACAACCACCCAAGTAAGTCACAAAAAAGCGCCCAGGGCCCAGGCCGAAACCACAAAAACCCAGGCTCCCGAGCCAACCTGCCCTGCGAAGACTCCCCCAAACAGTTTGATAACCCTAAGGGTCCACCTGTAGTCTCCATTGTAGTTCCTTTTGGGGGTTACCTTTTCGGATCCTTACTATATAATTGGTTAAACCAAGAAGAGGAAGTACAATGGAGACCATAGGCAGTATATACTTTGGGCCCAATGTACCCGCATAGGGAGTACTTTAAGGCCAATGTATATACTATTAGTTAGGAGCTGCCCCCACCCTGTAATAGTGACCATAAGGATTATATAGGATTATGTCAGGGCCCTGTTATATTCCTATTATACCACTATTACAGGGTGGGGGCACTATTAGGTACAAGGACCCTTAGGATAAGATCCTCCTTGCAACACTCCCCCAGCAAGCCACAGACGTAGAAGCTTGAACAGTTAAATTCCTACTAAAGCGAAAAGAACCCAAAAAGTTTAAAGGTTGGGTATTGGGGATCTAAGTTGCAATACTTGCTTGAAAGGTGCAAATGTACAACAAAACATGTGGTGGTTGTCAAAATTACGGTCCCTTTTTGGGTACCCTAAATATTAGGTGCCGTACTATATCAAGGACCCAAAGAGGGACCCGAATTTTGACAGCCACCCAAGTACGTCCGGCTTGGAACACGAGCCCGACACGATAGGCTGCCAGGCTTCCGTCGTAAATTTCCTGAAGCCCTACTTGGAGGATCCTTTAAGCACAAAGCCCAATCCCCAGAACCCCTTACGCCGAAATCGGAACAACCTGAACCGTTACGTGGAGCGTAGCTCTTTGGCGGTTGCACAGGGGATGCAACAGATCTAAGACTCCGACCAGGGAACCTGGCAAAGGTGGGGTTTAGGGCTTCTAGCCAAAACTCCGACCACAGTCTGTCTGCGTTAGAAGGGGCCCCCCACCCTGTACTAGTGGCATAATCGGAATATAATAGAGCCCTAATATATTCCTTATAGTCACTATTACAGGGTGGGGGCCCCTTCTAATGTCTGCGGTATAGCTACGTATCTTAGGATTAGGATCACCGGTTCAGCACCAAGGATTTTCATGGATAAGGGCTCGGGTTTTCGGCTTAATGCACGCAAACCGTCCAAAAATCCCTCAGTTAGGGAATGCACCTTAAAGCATATTAGGGACCCTAGGTTAGTTGAAGGTATACCCATTAAGTAACTGGGCTTTGAAGTAACCGGGGAGAAAAAGTATAGACATTTTTTCATAATTGGTTCCCATTAAGTAACAGGTCCCAAAAAAGTATTAAAGTATGGTACTCCAAAGCCCAGTTAAGGGATCTTGGAGGGTGTGGGGAGGATGTCGAAGCTTGAGGCCTGAGGCAGAGCTAGGGTGGTCCACACTAGCTGCCAATTTACGGGTATGTTTTGGGTACTGCCCCCATACAGTAAGAGTCTATAATGGGGCTACTATTAAGGTCCTAGTATATCTGTATTATGAATATTATTCAACTATTACTGAGTGGGGGCCGTACCCAGGGTATGTTTCAGAATAGGTTCAAGGGTTATTGCGTATTGCAACACTATCACACGACGAGGGCTCTGTGTGGATACTACTGCTTACCCCGACCTCTATACTACAGCATTCTCAACAAGCTTAGGGCCATGTGCCATGTAGTGTTTCAGAAACGGGATAGGTGTCGAATGCAGGGGTCCCAAGTATTACCTATACCCATCGGTGGTTTCTTATTGCAGTTCTAGTAGAAGGGGCCCCAAAACCCTACTCTAAGTATTAAGGCCCCTATCTTAGGATTTAGGGTCTGCCTGGAAACTGTCAAGTCTGTGGAACCCGAACCCTAAACCTTCTCAGGCTGCCGAGTCACAGAAGCTTCTATCCCGCAGGGTTCGAAGTACTTATGGGGGATTCTTACCCAGGTAGAAACCTTGCTTTCTTCTATACGGGGGTTTCCGACAATAGGGGACCCCAATATGGTACGCCAAATAGTAGGATCCTTATTATCAGGACCCCAGAATAACGCACCCCTGTTTTCGGGAACTCCCATATAGATCCTGTGGGAAGCCTTGCGCCAGAGGGGAAGCAATGCCATCATCGACCGGAGATGCTCCAGACCAGAACTTTCTCAAAGTATAGTAAAGGATTCCGTCTACGCTATATGATTATGGTTTAGGGTTTAGGCCCACCTGTAGCCGAAAAGACCCTCATATTAGGAACCCCCCCAAAAAGGTAGGTTCCTTAGAGCCCAGGCAAGCCCTGAAGCATGAGAGTGAATCCAAACCGAGCTGGAAGCTTACCGGTGGGCCGTACCGCCCCCTAAACCCGAAAGTAGTAGCCCTAAACCCCAAAACTTGAACATTAAATTCAACCCTCAGTTCACATTTCCCAGTATGTTCTGTTTCCCATTGGGCCCCCCGCAGAGCTGAGATGTCGGTGAATGGATATCCCACAACGGGCCGAATTTAATAGGGTTTTGTGTCCAACTACATGCTAAATGTTCAGGGATCACAAGGGAATACTCTAGCTAACCATTCCGCCCCGTGTAGCAATGCCCACCCTAAGCCCCAACCCAAAACCCCTGCGTTAGTTCGATCCCTAAACAACCCTGATCTATACCCTAAATCCCTGGCTTAAATTGGTCCCTAAACCCTAAACCCCAAAGCTAAACCCTCACCCCTGCATTAAATTGGTCCCTAAACCCCTGTATTAATTTGGTCCCTAAACCCTCCACCCTAAACCCAACACCCCTAAACCATACAGGCCCCAACCCCTACCCTCAACCCCTGCAAAAATTGGGTCCCTGATTTTTTGCGATCCCACTATAGATCCCTTAAAGGAGCCCTTTTAGTACCCTTTAAAGGAGCCCCCAGAAGCCGTCCCCCGAGGCCTCCCGGGGAGTCATGGCCTCCACACTGTAAACACCGGAAAGCACTTTGATCTCCTCATAGAAACCCAAAGGGTCCAAGTAATGGTATAGTCTATACTTTGGGGCCCAAAATACCTACTATAATGGTACTTTGATCTCCTCATCGAAAGTTTGTTGGGTAGAGCTTTCTGTTTAGGGTCTATAGGTTTTGAAGTCTGCGCAAAGGTCTTAATTACATACAACTTTCCCCTTCGGGTCTCTAGATTTTGCAGGCCTTCATTAATGTATATTGAATCGGTTTTTGGGTGGGGAGATCCAAGGAAGCATGCTACCAGGTATTCAGGCTCCTATGTTACTTGCAGACGGGGCTTGACAAGTTCAGTGGTTTTCTAGCTTCCAAGGCAGGGTAAAAGGAGGGACCCTTAATAAGGACCCCTAGGTTATATACCCTTAATGTAGCTCTTATATACCCATTATATAGCCCATTATAGGGTAGGGGTCCCCATTAAGAGTCCCTCCTTTTCCCCTTTGATAGCTGTGGACTTTGCAGCTTCGGGCTTACAGGTGCTATCATTTCCTTGCCGGGAAAGCGGGCTTGGCGGGTTGAGGGAGCTCTGACGCTGAGCACTGCAGTAAAGTATAGGGTAGAAGCGAACCACAGGTGGGGATCCGAGTACTTTGAATCATACACGCTGCCACACCCCAGTACTAACCTAAGTCCAAATATCTAGGTATCGGATATGTCGGAGTTCTGGAGGGCCGTCTAGGAGGAGAGCCCAGAACAGGTCCTTCATGAGGCGCTGAATCTTGGGCTCCTGGCCGTATGGGGGCTTTTAATTTTTCAGGGTTCGGGGCGTTATGCTGTGTTCATTACGGACACTTCGGACAATGAGTTCGCTGATTCTCACGGTTTCAGCGCTCACACTCGGACAATCCAGGCGAGGCATATAAGTTCGCGTCGGTTTAGGGTTTAGGCATGAACGGCAGCGGGAAGGAGGCTCTGTGTGTGGAGCTGGGGCTTCACGCGTGCATTGGAATTGCATTTTCTCTTCGACGGCTTTCTTCTGTAAGGGCCTTTCTGAAGCGCTGAGGTCCTGAGTACATCAGCAACATGGATTGCAGGATGGGGCTTCACTATCATGCGGCCTGTAATGCGAGGCCGTGCTTGGGGTGTTAATTTCACATGTGGGAGTTTCCGACAAGTAGGATCCTCATAATAAGGACCCCCAAAAAAGGGTACCCCTAATTTTCGGAAACTCCCATGTGCAGCCTGGACAAACCCTAAACCCCCTACCTAGAGGCCCCAAAGTAGTTCCTTCTTGGGTTTACCTTATAATATTCTATTTATGAACCCCAAAAAGGAACCACTATGGGGCATTGTTCATGGCGGAAGCAGTGGTCCGAGCTAATGCTGTCAATTGTAGACTTTGCATGTCACTGAGCCGGCGCCCTAATATAGGGGCCTGAAGAATCAGAATAGGGTTTTGGGGTATATTATGCAGCACGTAAAATAGTAGGGGTAATTACTAAGGCCCCTACATTATGGTACACTTATAGATCCCTTATAGTAACCCTTCTAGAGCCCTTCCCAGGAACCTTAATTAAGGCCCCTATATCACATCCTCAACCCCAATCCTAGACTCCTGAACCTGCCTCACAGTAACTTGCTTCCCCAATAAGACACAAAAATGCAAGGTTAAACTTTCCGATTCCTACGAAACTACAAGAAGCCAAAAAGTTTAAAGGTTGGGTGTTGGGGATCTAAGTTAAGATCACTTAGAGGAGCCCTTATAGATCCCTTATATGTATGTATGCATGCATGTATGTAGATATGTATGCGTTTATGTGTATGTGTACGGGCTTATATGTGTATAGATATAAACATGTACATACACAGCTGAAGCACTGCGTGCTGTTCTACCTGTGGGTTTTATGGCTCAGGGCTTCTCAAACCACACACATGTCTTTTTCGGCTCTGCATTAGCCCAGGGGCCTGAACAACAATGGACCCAATGAGCTGCTAAACCCTCAAGCCTAGACACCCAAGGCCAGAATCACCCCATCGCCAAAACTCAAATCTTGAACCTGCAAACCCCCCAAACCTTGAGAGAGACCTGGTAAAAACTCTTTAAACATGCATAACATCCGGATGGAACCCTGTAAAGCCTGTATGGCACCTCAGATCGCCCCAACAGCCCATAGAAAGCCTGTGGGGAAAAAACTTATGAAATTTCATCCCCTTTCAATTGAGACCGAAGCAAATAAACCTAAAGCCCTACACCCTCAACCCCTAAACTACTAAACCCCTAACCCCTACCTAAACCCCTAAACGGCCCTAAACCCTACACCCGCTCCTCCACGGGGCCTTGGAAGTCGATATGGAAGGAGGGCCCATCGCGCGTGAAGGACTTCAGCCGGGACTCGATGTGAGTGAGGTTGATGTCCTCAGAGTGTCCCAAAGGGTTTAGGGGTTTAGGGGACATCGGGTGTAGGGTTTAGAGATTTGGGGTTTAGGGGTTTAGGGGACATAGTGTGTAGGGGTTAGGGATTTAGGGTTTAGAGTTTAGGGGTCGTAAGCACCTAGATGGGGGATACATACCCAAACCATAATAGAAAATCTTACTACCTTCACATCCCAACCTCCTCCTCTAAACCCTAAACCCCTAGAACCCGGGTTCATCGTTAAAGCTAAACCCCCTATAGATCCTTTATATAAAGGAATCCCTTAAAGGTACCCTTATACATCCCTTTAAAGGGGCAGAGCTCCGGCGAGTGAAAGCCAAGTGTCGCAGCTGGCAAAGAGCCTGGGTTGGGTCCAGGGCTTCGGGTCGCTAGGGTTTAGGGTTTAGGGTTCAGGGTTTAGGGTTTAGGGTTTAGGGTTCAGAGTTCAGGGTTTAGGGTTTGGGTTTTTTTTTAGGGTTCAAGGTTTCGGGCTTAGGGTTTAAACGGCCTTACAGTACCCTAAGGGTCCAAAGGACCCAATAATTAGGTACTCGGGTTTGGGATAGTAGCTATGTAGGTTACTATTTGTGAGAGTATATGATAAGTGGGCACTTGGACCCTTAAAGGTAGGTCGAAAAGGCCTTTGAGATACGTGTTACAATACAGTTCGGGCACCTTGAGGCACTAAGGAATGCACGTAATATGTATACCGGCTCCCATATTATGCGAACCCTTGGAGCGAAAGCATTTGGCAATGGCAGTCTGTGGCCGAAGTTGCCAGTGACTACACAGCTGGGCCGTGGCTATCACAATTCGTTTCGACATCCTGCATACCGTTTCGTCTGAATGCTAGTATCCACAAAACCCACAACACGAATCCCCTTCCTTCCCCATCTAGATAGATTCCCAAAACATCATAACCCGCATGCCTTCGCTTATCCCATCGCTACGTCTCGAAGATGAGCCCCACATGAAGAGCCGCGCGGCTGCATGATCTCCCCTAGCACTCCAGGCTTGTCGTGCTTGGCCTCCACGACGATGAATGACAGCGGGTCAAACTCCTGCACATCCTGTCAAGGCCAAGCTTTTGGATACACCATAGCAGCTGCGCTACAATGCGCCAAGACCATGAAGTGAAGTGTCAGACTGCTGAACCCCAAACATCATTCGGAATGCGCTATTCTGACTTCTCATGGAATCAGCATAAAATAAAGATCCACATGCTTCAACTCTGCACTGCAAGTTTCGAGCTGCGTGCTGTTGATACTATTGACCTGAATAATTGGATTGAGATAGTCCCGCATGATAGTTATTGACTCATGTATGCTCTCGGGTCACGGGCCCCCCACCACAGGCCCACCCCCAGCCCCTCGTGCACAACCGGGACGACACGTAAACCAGAAGGAGGACGATGGAGAAGGATCCCAAGCAGTGCTTCTTCACAGAGCGGAGGACCGCATCAGACCAGCAGCAGGGACAGGGACACTATTTACAAGGAGAAAAGGGCAACATCAAATCTTCTAGTATGGTAATGAGCACGTAACGATAACATTACCACTAACAAGGGGCTGCAAGCATACCTCTGTAGAGCACACTTCCCTGTAAGGTAAAGGTGACTTGAATAGTAGAAGACAGCACACCATGCCCAAAGAAGATTCACAGTGCTGCATGGGCTCCTTGCGGAAGACCATGCGGACCAGATGCTTTTTGTCGTCCGTATATGCTACAACATACGCCCCAAGCTATATTCTAACCCTTCAGGATCACTAGATGTTCCGGACAACCGGGTCTGAAAAGACAAATGCCGCAACGATCTGCCGAGATGCTGGACGGTTGCTCATCGGCCTACTCGGGGCTGTGAAAACAGGTTTTGAAAACCTGTAGTATAGGGGCTCTAATAATTATAGAACAGGGTGTTGGGGCCCGTTGTACTATACTTACGATGCGGAACCACCAAAATAGTATTGGTAATTTCTTAGGCCCTTATAGTAAACCATGGCATGGTGATTGCACCTTGTTCGCATACAGCTGGTCGGAGACTAGCACGAACCTGATACTTGGGCAACACCTCGAGGTTCAAGTTTCGAGTCCCCTGAACCCGGAAGTGTATGAGCTCACATGGCTGCTCAACCCTTCAATCAGAACCAGTTTCTGGAACCCTCAACCTTTAACCCCGAAACCCACTCTCTCTCTCCGGGGCACTCAGTCGCTGTCAGGCCCCGCCAGCTTCCTTCCCACAGGACTACCACTCTGCACAACCCCGAAACCCTAAAGCCCTAAACCCATATAAACCCTACACCCCGAACCCCTAAACCCTCGACCGGAAACTTCCCAAGCTCATCAGGGCCCCAACTTCAGCTGGCTGCTGGGGATTTCGATGGAGTTGTTTCCAATGTTTCCCGGATCGGAGCCGAAGCTTCAAGCCTACTTAGAGGATCATGGGACTTAGTAAGTAGGGTCTAGGGTTATAAGTAAGGTAACTATAGTTATATCTACTTATAACCCCAATTAAGGTACTTATAACCCTACTTACTAAGTCCCATGATCCTCCAAGTAATATAAGGGCCTCAGTTGTTAGACTAGGGTTTTGGCGCGCAATACTATAAGTATAATCAGGAACCCACCAAAATATTATATTTAATTATTGAGGCACCTTTACCAAAGAACCCTAATTACTATAGATCCCTGATAGACTCCTTCAAGGCACTGTTTAAAGGAACCCCCCTGAAAGGGTATAGGTAATTGACGCCCCCATATTACGTGCCGTCGGGTTGCCGAAGCCCGCGCTGTAGCAGCGTGCCAGGAGACTGCCATGGCATCCTGCAGCAGCCACTGTAACCCGGCTTAGGTTTTTTTGGAGCACCTTTTTGATGCCTTGCCAGTGTCTGACACACACCAAGGCCCAGGATTTAGCGTTTAGGGTTGTAGGTTTAGGGTATTAAATCCTAGACCCCTTTGAATTTGAAGGAACCCTGTTCTAGGTAATGTAGCCCCTACTAGTATTGTCTATTCCGGAATTTTTTGATTCCGGTTGCCGGGCCTCATCCACACAGTTCCAGCCCCAAACCTCCTATTTAATTTGGGGGGCCTCAGTCGTTAGACGGTTCTACGGCTACAGTATAGAATAAATGGGAGTTTCCGAAAATTAAGGGTACCTTACTTTGGGCTCCTTACAATAAGGATCCTACTTTTTTCGGGTACTATATTAGGATCCCGTACTTTTGGGCACTCCAAGTATAAGGGAGCTATGTAAACTGATAAGTCTGCATCCACCGAGGCCGTGGCAATCGGGCAGAACGGGGCAAAAGCCGGCGAAACGTAGCCATCGTCATGGCTTCGAGATCCGAACGTGGTCAACAACTTTACAGGACGGGGTTGTTGTCGAAACCCTCTAAAACAGAAACTCAAGAAGTGCAATATGGGTCGGGGGGGCCATCAGAATAACCAGAATCAGCTCTTGGGTAATGCCATGGCAGAACTTCTTTCCAAGTGCCTTTGCCAGGTCGTGCTTCATAGGTCCGATGTCCTCTGAGCCCCTGGGAGGCAGGGTTTGGAAAGCTGAAATTTAGGGTTTCGGCGCTCACGCTCGGGTTTAGGGTCTGGGGTGAAGGCTTGGAAAGTCTTAGCATCGTGTTTAGTGCTGTAACATTTAGGGTTTCAGGTTTCGGGCTTGTTGGGTGCATCTCCCGGTCAAAAATCTACGCAGGAACAAAAGGCACGCAAAAACACGGTGTTATGTGTACTGTACGGTATGATACAACATGATCTGATACAGTATAGTACGTAATAGTATAGTACGGAAAGGTACGGTACAGCGTGACATGGCATGGCATGGCATCCCACGGCATGGCCTGGCATGGATGTGCGCGTATACTGTTTATCTTCATGCCTGCGCATGTAAGTGAAACAAATGCACATGCACGTATGCACACAAATGTTGCACATCCATGCATGCACGCATAAGTCGCCCGTGAAGAAGCATGTATATGCTTTTGAGTCTGTAAAACGGAAGCTTACAGCACGGGGTTTTGAGCTTACTCCATGCCCAAATGCCCAGCATTCGAATACTACCGCCTTTAATGTAAGAACCTGTACCGTTTCTGGGGCACCTGCGGTAGAACCAAATTGACGTGGCCGTGCGAAACGGCCGCTGCCAGTGGGATTAGACCGGTTGTGGGGTGTGCCTGACGCAGGCTTCGGATTTCGGGTAAGGGTTCAGGGTTTACGGTATATGGTAATACTATCAGCTTTAGCTGGTTTCAAACGGTGTTTAGGGTTCTAGACAATTTGCACAACTCTTCAGACTTGAAGAGCATGAACCCAAAGCTGTTTAAGCTCGTGGGTCTACCTTGTCTCGTATACCCCAAGCTCTCAAAGCCCAAAGATTTTCGAGAAGAAGGCATTGCCTACTATAGTGGCCTCAATAAGGATTGAGTGGTAGTGTAGGAACCTGATTAAGAAACCCTGGCCGTGTAACCCCCCATATATTAGGACTCATATGAAGAAACCCTAATCAGGACCCAGTGTTTCTCAATCAGGGCCTGATTCCGGAACCTGGTTCCTACAGTCGTCCCAGTATAGACAAGTCATGTGTCAAATTCCTGCGTAAGCCCATATTCCCTCACACGCCCCGTTTTATTATCCCAAAGGGTCCTATGTACTGCTAGGGAAAATACTTCCCTAAGGCATAATAGTAATTCTTAATATGGAAACCCTACATTCTGCTATACCGGTACACAGGACCCTTTGAGTAGGATTTTGGGATCTTTGGATTTTGCGGGTTAGGGCGAGGGGGTTTAGTAGGATAATGCCACGGGAGCTGGGGATGCTACCATGTGGGAGTTTTCGAAAATAGGGGGTACCTTATTTGGGGTCCTTATAATGGGGATCCTACTACCTAGGGTACTTTTTTTGGGTCCGCTGTTTTCGGAAACCCCCATGTAACTTTTGAGGTTCGGGAAAACTGTTGAGCACTCCATCTTGGTTTAGGCTCCCACACGGTTATAGCGGCATGATGGGAACTAAATATAAAAACATGTTTGACATGCTTACATTGATCTCCCCTGTGGTCTGGTTATTTGTGCAGTGGCGGGCAACAGCGTCTGAAATCGAGGAGTCCCCTGACCAGCCATTGGCATCGCCATGACAGTGCCACCACTTGGGCTCAGACCCTAAATCCTACTCCTGAACCCCGAAGCCTAAGCCCCAAAGCCCTAAAGCAAACAACCCTCAAACCATTCTGCCCCAAAGAGCATCTCCATTTGGCCTCGTTCAGTGCCTTGACCGACAGGGGCGAGGGCCTTGAAGCATGTCGATGTGGAGCAAGGGCTTAAGGCTTAACCCTAAGGGTTCATGTACTCATATAGTATATTCTGTGGCCGAGAAGTCGTCCCCATACAGGAACTTTGGGGCCAAGATTTGGGTACATGGAGGAGTAGGAGAAGGGCCAAGAGCTACCCCTGGGGCCTCCCTAAACCCTAAACCGTCTTCCTGTAGTCTGCATTGTAGTTCCTTTCATTGGTTTAACCAACTGCATGTCTAGGATCCTAGAAGGCAACCCCAAACAAGGGAACCGACCATGGAGACTATTGACCATAGGTTTGGCTTAAGGTTCAGGCTCCAGCTTCCGAGGTGGGGCAGTGGAAGCGTCTTGCAATGAGCTTGTAGGAAAGGTCCAAAGACGAGTCCCACACACAGACACAAACACACACACACCCATATATATATATATATATATACACACATATTTATACACATACACATATACAGACAGAGAGAAGTACAAATCATGCACATGTTTGTGTACATAGATGTTTAGATGTATATATATATATATACACACATACACATTCATGTATATCTATAGGTATACTCACACATACATACATTATAAATATACATAAAACATATTCGATATATATATATATATATATATATATATATATATACATAAATGTACGATCGTGTATCTACCTGTATATGTAGGTAGATAGGTAGATAGAAGATGAGAGGCATAGAAAATGCGCACAGGTTCAGGCCCATGTCTTCCTCCAGCTACACCACTCGTTTGCAAGTAGACACATGACATGCAGATTTTTTATAGGCCGTTCCGTAAGCAGCACCAAGGGCAGCTTGACAAGAACACGACAAGAAACCTGATCAGGATTACGGCTCTAACCTTTGCCACATGGTCGAGACACCGCTGTAGGAAGCCAAGTCAAAATGAAGACCTTGAGGATAATTATACTATACTCTCGGCTATCGTTATATAGGAAGGAGCCCTACGGAATAGTACAGGTAATTCTTCCTGAGCTTCCACACAAACCCCATAAAACCCTTGAACAAAGGACCGCGAACAGGGAATAGTCTTGTAAGTATTCCGATCGCTATATTATATTCACAGTGTGCGTAAAGCAGCTCCAGACTCCTTTACAGGGTATGGGCTTGGGGTTCACAAGCCTTGAGTTACTCCTAAACTCTACAGCCCCCTCGACCCCGAAAGCTTACAGCTTTATATAAGAACCTGATTAAGAAACCTTGGGCCTTTGTTAGGGTTCTTTACATGAATCCTGATATTTTGGGGTTATAAGGCCAGGGATTCTTAATCAAGCTCGACACCACACAAACCCCAACAACTCGCTCCCCAAACTGAGACCCCTGCGGCGCAGAGTTCACCACAGCACGAGTCTTCCGGGCCTTCAGTAGCCTCAGAGAAAGACGCGAAAATCAGAGATGCGCTGTGGTGCGCATGTCGGGTTCAGGGCTTACAATTCATTCTGCTTCAATCGTTCCGGCTTCAGGGTTTGGCACATACTACGCAAAGCCTGGCAATGGATTGGCAGTGGTGTGAACGCACATGTGTGTCTACAAATGTATGTCTGCATGTATGTAGGCAGGTAGGTAGATCGGTGGGTCGGCAGGTAAGGAAGTGGAGGTATACGTAGGTATGTGCTTAGGTAACCTTAAGTCGGCAAGTAATGGCAGGTACAAGAGTTCGATGTTATTACACCCCCATATATATATATATATATATATATATGTGTGTGTGTGTGTGTCTGCACACGAGACATGCAGCCTGATTGCGCACATGTCCGCTAGAACTTGAGCTGGTTTGCGCACGATCCGCAGACATAATTAGGGTGTTCCCCATATAAACAGACACATCTCCATGTGCCGTCATAACCATGTGTGCGTATTGTATGTATATATATATATATGTGTGCATATGTAAATGTCCATGTGTATGTATATGTATATGTTTATGTTTTTCAACAATATATACATATATATATATATATATATACATATTACATATTACGTAGGCAGAACGTGCATTTTCTGTTCATTGCTGAGCTTGGGACATAGAGCTTAGCGTAAGGGGTCCAATGCACCGGGCCCTGCGAGGGCATTGTGGAGAGATGCTTGACCGAAGCATCAGCAAATCTACGGTGTGCTCGACGCGTTGATTCAACTGCGCTGCTCCCTACATTATCGCATCCTGACCCATGCAGTTAGCTGGCCTGCCGTATTCAACTTTTCGTCCAGAACCGATCGGTTAATTTGCACATATGACTAGAGGTTGGGGCAGGCATGAAACATGACAAAGATTCGTTTTGCCCAAGTTTGGAATCGGATCCGTCTGTTTCTTTCATATGCGGCACGGAACCAATCTTTTCCGGGTCAATTTCTCTTGTTTCTGGCTCCAAGCATGTAAGGGTCTGCGCCTCAGGCTCTAAAGTTTTGGAGATTTGTAGGGGTATCTGTTCGAGGCTCCGGGGCGCGATGGCTCGGGTTGACGAGCTAAGCTGGGCAGCCGTTTGAGGCAATGCACTCACAGGCAGTAAGTCTGCAAGCTATCGACGATAAGGACCTGTAACGACCAGTAGACTGTGCCCGAAATCAGTTGCTATGAAGGTGGCTTTTGCCGAGCAGCATCACCAAGTGACCAAAGGCCATGGCTTCTTCCGGCGACACCTGCGACCTGAAACTCACAAGCCAGAGCGCGAAGACAGAATGATGTGACGAGCTTCGACCAATCCGCTGTGTATGCTCGAGCATAGTAAGTGCACTGTCAGAATGCATGCGGGCATCTGACCTGATGACGAGGGTCCTCCACGGAGTATTTGAGTACTTCAGAACAATCCGCCCAGTTTTGAAGCCGGCACAGACAGGCATGGAACGGTAGGATAATCACGGCCCACGCCGAACCCCGGGCATCTCTGAGCCTGAGCCTTTCAACTTTGTCGGACGTTCCGTGGCAAGATGGGGTAAGGATGAGTTGAGAGCTCAGAGAAAAGCTTCGCCAAATACCGCACTCTACACCAAATGTACC